CGGTAATAACCTTCAACCCCTTTAGCCAGTAATTAACCCGTCCTCCCAGTGCCAGTAGCATAATTCGGTCAAATATTTATTGTTCACGAGGGGTGCCTTATAATAAATCACAGGCACCTGAATTTTTATCAGTAAGTCTCTAAATTAGCCAAATATCGAAACATTCTATCCCCTCTATAGAAAGTATAAATACACAAGGCGTGCAACGCCATTTTGACCCCTTGTTCGATTCAGGCCTCAATTTAACACATAAATCGGATACGCCTACTGGTTTTCGTGTAGCATTGGGTTCAAATATGATATTTCTCGCTATATATTTCTTCCTTAAGTTTAAATCCAACGCGTTGATAATGTTATCAGCTAAACTTCATGCTGACTTCGAATTTCGTCACAGGGCCCGATCGCCATCAGCTGACGTCACGGAAAATTAATCTCGACACCAAATGCTCCTTTACATAAACTTTTTTAATACAACAATTATAAATTTATTTCATTGACAAACAAAATCAGAGAAAAATTAAAAACCGAAAGATTATGTTGTTTTGATAGTCTTGATTTTAATTAGCATATGTTATATGTGTTAGAAACAAATCATAGGTAGAGGCTTTGTCGATAGGTAGCGCCTTATGGAAGTTTCCGGTGTCGATACATGCCATAAAGCGGTTAGCGAAGCTAACCGCTTAAAAATGATTATGATAATGGTAATGGTTACTGCCTCTGAAATTCTGTTCTTTATGTTTAGGCAATTTTATTCGTGAATGTAGTAAAACATTCCATTAATGGATGCAAATTATATAGGCCTAAATCAAATCCGAGGAGTACAGTTACTGATATGTATATAGCCAAAATCAATGTTATTAAATTGTAAGGAATATATACAATTGACATTCATCGCAGCTCAATGCTGCCAAGAGTACCTGTATTGAGTAACACATAGTTAGTTATTCTTGTCCTCAGAGAAAGTGTGCTTATAATGAGGTTTGTTCCGCCTGACTGACAACTGTACATTGGAATTTTACGATTTGATATCTCTTTAGTGTTTATTATGCTAACCAAGGGTTCTAAAAACCGAGGATATCAATTTATCGTTTTAATATTAGTCAACTTGTACACAGCCATAAGCGGGTTGGGGTGTTCATTTTTTAACATCATGTCCAGTCATGTAAATTCGTAGTTATGTAAATTTACGAAAAAACTAAAATTTAAACAACAGGCTTTTTTTTGTGATGGTTGTGTTGGTGTCAAGTCATTTTTCTCTAAAACTTATTCACTTCCAGATTATTTTTCTCTCCTACTATTTCATGGTAGGTCACTTTACGGTGGGTCATTTCTCTCACCTACCTAGGTCATTTCACCCCATTTCAATCTTGTCTTATACGATTATTTACAATTTCAATTTCTTGTGTTATTAACTTTTATCATGCCCCCGCCATTTTGAGGTCTTCTCGTTAAGATTAATAACTTAAAAAAAAAATCAAATCTAATTGAAATTAATAAATTTGTTAAAATAATCATTTTTTTACCCTAGCCGATGATGAAATTTTGTCTATAAACTGAATATTACGTGTATATAGATGATGATCAAGCTCGAAACTTATACATTAAAAAATTGCTTTTATTGATTTCATAATGTTTGGCGATACAAATACGTAAGTATGAAAAAAAAATAAAACAGTTTTAAATTATATTATGTCACTTAAGATGTTACGAGAAAAAAGGAAGAAAGTAGATATGAAATAAAATATAATAGCCTGAAGAAATATATTGACAGACCGGTCTGTTAATCAGTTTTTCTTTGCAGAGCTACAGTTCTGCAGCTAAAAATAAAAATAATTTTTAGAAACCAAAGAATATACTTCAAAATCACAGGCACCTGACGTTACTTATTTTTCTTTTAATAAAAAAAATATACACATACCGAAGTTTATTATTCGGTATGTGTATATTTTTTTTATTAAAAGAAAAATAAGTAACGTCAGGTGCCTGTGTTCAAAATGTATTTTCAAGAAACCAGATACACATGTACAAATATGTAAATATTTTTTAAATATTTATCTTGAATAATTGTTCATTTATCACAAGACGAAAGACCACCTTTAAGCAATCACTTAATGGTAGCCTAATGGTGACTTAATGGTGGCTTAAAGAAGTTAATTCCTTTAAGCCACCATTAAGCTGCAACTTACAGGTGCTTAATGTCCAAACTTCATTAAGCTACCATTAAGCCACCATTAAGCTGAGCTTAATGGTGACTTAACGGTCGAACCTCATTAAACTTTTACGCATGTTATATAGAATCTTTGAACTAACTTTTAGTTATTTTAATATCATTTACGCAAAATCTATTCCAACTCATAATTTTGTTTCGATCATAATATCTACGAGTTTTTTGTCAACATGCATAAAACTTGATCACTGAGAACAAAGTTAGCTAATAGCCACATGGGCTTGCTCGAGGTGTCTAATAATTTTTTTAAAAAATCATTTACAATGATAATAAAACAAGACATCCTTTATCAGAACCGTGTATTATTTTTTTTTAAATAAATAATTATTACATGCGTTGTTTTTATTTTTAGTGTATATGATTTTTAAAAATAAATAATTATTACACACCGGGAGCAAGTCCTTGTCAAATATCTTAAATCTTCAATACCAAAAATCAATTTGTTCTTAAAATTATCTTTATCCATGAACACAAAATATATATTACTTTTTAAAAACAAAATGGTATTTTTATTTCATGTGTTAAAAGAAACATTCCGCTACAGAATTCACAGGAATATAACTTCAAGTCATATAATCTCCATCTTCTCTAGCCAAGGGTTTCTGATCCGATACCTACTCTTGTAGAGTAGGTATCGGATAGGAAACCCTTGACTAGCGAAGATGTATAATCTCATAAAAAAAATGTCTTTGTTGAGGGGGGGGGGGGGGGGGGCTACTGGTATACAAATCTTTAGTTTTCAAAGATTGACTTTTACCATAAAAAACTTTTGAATGACTATTACATCATGAATAATTTTAATCAATTCGTTATTATTATTATTATTTTTTTGTTGATAATGCAGCGGTAAGTATCTGTCAAAATCTAGTCGGCCTTCAATGATTGTTATTTCAAAACAGATTTTCAGAAGAACGGCCGATCAGACTAAACATGACATCCGACCAGATGTATACACATTGAGAAACGGGGTAAGATTAACAGATTATCAGTGTACAGTACACCGACTGGTCAGACAATAGACCTTAATTAGGTGTGCCCACCGTCCCCGGTTAACTAGCAGGAAACTATATATACACAACGTACACTGACAGATTTTGATGATCAATTATTTTTACAAAATTCAAATTTAACGCAAGTATATAACAATTTAAAAATTATGATTCATCGTAAAAAGTCAATTATTTTGATACCCATTATGATACAAAAAGAATTGATACTGAATATGATATTCTAAAAAAAGTTTTTGTAAACGTAAAACCAGGTAAATCTTACGCGAGGATTGTCACTAAATTGTTGACACAGAAACCGTTAATATCCACAGTATATTAAAAAAAATAGAAGAATCTGTTTTTTCGTCTTTCTTTTTCGATGATAGATTTTTGTGTTTTATCAATAATTAATTTATTTTCAATCATGATTTAATGCTTACATGTATAAATTTTCGAATAACAGAGCGAAGAACTCAATCACATTAAATGAATCTAAAAGCCGAACTTAATGGTTTAGAAATATTAATGTGATACAAGCCTTTTAAACAGTTCCACAAATAAAATTGTTTATATTTTGATTAATAAATCAATTCAAGACTTTTGGAAACGTTCAACAAAATACTAGTAAATACTTTTATAAGTCCAAACAAATTTTGTAAAAAATAAAGGTTAAATATTTAATATTTTCTTTTGTAATCAAGAGCGGTGATAGCCTAGTGGATAAGGCATCTGCCATATAATCCTAAGGTCACGGGGATCGCGCCCCGACTATGGCGATTTTTTTTTTCAAATTTTGAATTTCGTTCTTTTTCATTATTTTTACCAAATCAAGATATGTGCGAACTCTATATTTATAATATTGATAACAAATCACTATAAAAATAATTTTTCACCCATATAAACAATATTATCGACTGCCTAATGTGGCTTAATGGTGGCTTAATGGTAGCTTAATGGAAGCTTAATGGAGTTTGGACATTAAGCACCTGTAATTCTCTCTTAATGGTAGCTTAATGGTGACTTAATGGTGGTCTAAAAGCTACCATTAAGGACCTGTAAGCCACCATTAAGCTACCATTAAGTTACATTTAAGCACCCATTTAAGTGATATATGGCGGATTTTTGATAAGTTCTGACTATCTAAAATTAAAAAGATCTTTCTATTTGTTTTGTTACTTTACATAAAGAGAAGACTTTCCTGTAAATTACACAATTTAAATCAATTGCGTTTCAAAGTTATCGCAGAATTTAAAAAAAATAACCAAATTATTTCCGACTCGGAAATAAATATCAGACATATTTTAAAGTCAATTTAAGTAATAGAAACGAAGGGATATTTAAGTTCAAGATAGATGAAATTTTTAATTTGAATGTAAATAACAAATATCATGTTAATCTCCGCTTAATCTCGTATTTTTATTTTTTTTTTTACCTCAGATACGCCATTAAGGACCTGTAAGCCACCATTAAGCTACATTTAAGCACCCATTAAGGACTTTGAGATGGCTTAATGGTAACTTAATTGTGGTGTAAATGTTACTTAAAGGTTCTTAATGGTGACTTAAAGACAACCATTAAACCACCATTAAGGACCTATAAGCCACCATTAAACCGGACTTAAAGGGTGTGTTTCATCTTGTGTTTTATAAAACTAAAAATAATTAAAACGCAAAGAAAACAATAATGTAAAAATGCTATGAAAAACTATATATAAAAAAAAAAAATAAAAAAAAAACACTGTGTAGGGTACCGTTAAACCCCAAGACAACAATAACAAATTCTAACAATAGGGCAAGAAAGTCTCGTTTGTGCGTCACTTCCGGTTTGGCTGCTGGAGATAAACATTACGAACATGTGCTTTCGGTTCAATATTGCCGGTTTCACCTCGTGAAAAATGCTTTGTTTTGTGGCGAGCTGTAACCACCAAAGCTTGCGGGAAACTTGCAGCTTCTTCAGGTTCCCAAAGAAATCAATAAAGATATGGGAAAAACTTTGCAGGTATGATGTTTTATTTAAAAAACACTTCTCAAAATATAACAGAGGAATGTCGGGTTATACACTGTCCTTTCAATCGTACGCCTATAACATGTTACCTAATGCCTGAAATTGAATTCAGCTTAAGAATACAGAGTTATCAGTGTTGTACAGTGCTTTAAGCAGTTCCGGATTTTAAGCAGTTCCGAATAATTTTAATCAAATAAATAAAATTATGCAAACATAAATGTTTCTGTTTCTAATGATTCTTTACATAAATGAAGCTTTATGTATTGTCCATACTCTGGATGACATAGCGAGATAAAAAACTCCGTCTATCTTACCGTGTCCAGGCTTTTTGTTTACAAACGCAAGCGCTTAAGTGACGTTGACCGACATTAAACACGTGCTTTCTTGAAAGTAAAGACGTGCTCTGAAACTGTGGTAAGGTATGTATTTCATTTAAGACATGTGAATGAAACATTGATGTATCTTCTATCTCATGAAATTTCGGTTTCGTTAAAATACGGCGTAAATCCAAAATAAAGAGCAATATTCACAACATCCCATTTTAAGCAGTTCCGAATGAACCATAAACGGGGTTGTCTCAAAAGAGCTGGTAAAACAAACAAGAGAAAATACGTAAACAAGAAGTCAGAAACATGAATTTATTTTACATTCAGAGTTTTATCATAAATTATGTTGATTTTAAAAGGCTGAGAAAGTATTATTAATTTCAAAGTCATGGCTTTAAGTATCTTTCTCTCTCCCCCATATAGCTTCTTTCTCTCTCTCTCTCTCTCTCTCTCTCTCTCTCACATGCTGTTTACAGAAGATACTACAAATTCAAAGATCCTTAGAAGAAAATACATGTAAACAAATTAATAAAATTGAATCGAGAAACTTAAAGAATGAACAATCTCATTAAATATTATACAATGTAGAGTGTAATTTTTTTTTCAATGTTTGCTATATCTATAATATATCACTGAGTCCAAAGAAACTTAAAGTAGTCAAGGGAAGAAAACAGAAGAAAATGTCCGAAATTAAAAGAAAGCAAGAACTTTATGAAACCACCAATGAAACCAAAAGAGGGTTACTGCTAATTACAATGTATGCAGCAGGCCTTCTGATAGGTCATCAGTGTGCCGAAAGTTTTATCAAATTCTTTTTAGACAATTCTGGATTAAAATGGAGAATTTTTTGCAGAGGTTAATAATGTATATTACACGTAACATGTATAGTGTTTGTCATGTCCGTCATCTGTCCTTCTGTCAATCTGTGATACTTTGTGTTAAGCTCAGTTTCAAAGAAATTTTTCAAGATATTTTTATCAAACTTCATTTGCTGACACATATAGTGAGAGGTATTCAACTGCTTAAAGATTTGTTTTTACCTTGACCTCACTTTTCTCAAATTTGCAGCTTGCTAACTTTCAAACCAAAAAAACTATTCAAGATATTTTTGTAACTTATACATAATTTTAAATTTGGTAAGAATTTTTCAACTGTGTGTATTTTTTTTAAAACTGACTTCCCCTATTGCCTTCAACTTTCTCATCTACTGTGTATAAAAATGATTTATTTTGAAAGTACATGTACTCAAGTTTAACCTTTTCTTCAAACTTCACACATTATATAAAGCAAAGTTTCATGTGCATTCAAATACAATTAAGTGAACTGGTGAATTATATGTTGGGCATTTATGTCCTATTCCTCGTTTTTTGTATGAAATGAACAACAATTCCTTGATTAAATATATTTTTTATTTTGATGATTTTTTTTAGTTAAATTTTCCAATGCAATTTTCTGATTTTTATGTTTTTTTTTTATTTTTTAAAATATTTGATAGTTTATTTTATCGTTAATAAAGTTGTTGAAACATGATCTTTTCTTCTTTGTATATGATATAATTGATATTCCATTTTCGAGCTCAAGTCTTTAAAAAAGTGGGGAAAAATATTATTGTCCCTAATTAACTTAAGATCTGATCGTTAAAAATGAATTTTGAGACGACCTCTGTTGTTACAACTATAAATAACAACGATAGGTGGCGAAAACCGGAACTACTTGAAATCATCTAAACTGCTTGAGCTCCAGCATATTTTAATTGGAAAACTTCGATTATAAAGTATAACGTTTTAAACAAAATATTAATGTGGCTTGAAAGAGTAAATAAAAGACTATTTATTTCAATGTAGAAATCAAACACAGGTCCTGCATAAATAATTTACCGAGTGTTTTTCCCGTTACGATCCGGAACTGCTTAAATCACTGTATTTCACTTTTTAATATATTCTGATTCATTGTAACAGTGGTCTTTTATAGTCAACTTAAAGTTATCCCGAATTATCACCCACGAGAGCACGGGTGGAGAGGGGAGGTGGATCTACAAGAGCTATGAAATTGAAAATAATAGTATTCGGACATGAAATCTTTGTCTAGATTATATTTACACTTATAATTTGAATATAATATATTTAATTCAGGAGACAAGATAGGACAGTAACTGCAGCTGACAGATCTCGAATATGCAGCTGTCATTTCAAAGATGGAAAAAAAGAAAATGGACCAACTATCTTCCCTTGGAATCAAGGACAGTATTTTGACTTTGGAGACTCTAATGCTATTTCAAGGTATGTTTTGAATATTTTTGTGTCATTATTTTGAGACATCATTTTACCATACAATTTATTCAATAACTAAATATTTTCTATCAACAGCTAATATAAATTTATGAAGTTAAAAAAATCTGACAGAATATATGTAAAAATTTGAAGTAGTTAGTTATAAGCAAATTATGTAACACATACAGACAATGCAAACAGAGCCCATCTGTAAACCAGGGAGAAGAAAATGCGGTTATGGTGGAAGAGACAGAAGCTGCACAACCAATTCAATCATTTAGTGAGGGTTTTGACCATGACCAGCATCTACTGCGACACGGGACCGTTACTGCGATAAAGAGTCAAATTTATTAAAACAAATCCAAGTGAGTATAAAAATTTCAGTAGTACATGTATTTAGTATTGTAGTACTTAAACTCTGTTTTGTGTACAATGTTGTAAAAAAAACAGTTACACACTTATATGGTTTTTGAAGGAAATGGAACAACAAATTGACAAGCTGACATCAGAAATAGCTATTCTTAAGACTAGGAAACAACCTTTCACCATAAGCCAGATCATCAATGATGAAAAGAAGGTATCCATTTTTTTACTGACTGATACATTATTTGTTCCAATGTAGCTCCCTCTGTGAAGTGGTTAGAGCATTGTGAAATAAGGAGTTGATCCTTACCTCCCGGGTTCAAATCCCATTGCGGGATGGAGACCAGTCCTTCAGATGAGACTGTAAAAACAGAGGTCCCAGTAAGTGCTGGCATGAAAAACATCCCTCACTGCTCAAAGGCCATAAGTGCCGAGTATAGTCAGAATTTGTAGCCCTCCACTGGCAAGTGAAGGCATCTCCATATAAGTGAAAAATTCATGAGAGCGATGTTAAACAACAATAAGTCCTTGTTCAAATCGCATATACTGTATAAACTCACCTATAAGTAGATTGATTTTTGGGAGTTAAACTTTGGTCCAAAACTCTTCATCCAACTTATACCATGTTATACGTGAGTTATAAAAAAAAAATGATTTTTGCAGGTCAATCCCTCTAAATAATTCAACCTTAAAAAATACGACCGTTTTCTATGCAATTATATACAGTATGAGAAATTATTTTACCTTTATAACAAACTAGAACAACTACATTCCATAAATTCATATTTTATTAGATGCTGATGTACACCTCCTTGAAAGTAGACATGTTTAGAGTAGTGGACTCAACTATTCAGAGATTTCCATTAACATAAATTATGTCAACAACTGGACACCAGCAGTGATTTCAAGAACTGACCAGTTATTAATGACACTGATGAAATTGAAGCTAAACTCTCCCAATTTAGATTTAGCTGAGAGGTTCAGCACAAGTAAGACAACAGTGCAAAATATTGTGGTTACACATATTTTTGCTTTGCATGAGGTGTTCTTTGAGGGCATGATTGAAAATAACATTCCCTCCCTCTTAAAGTGCAAGTCCTCTATGCCGACAAGTTTTGGTGATTTTAATTGTTGCCGTCTTGTGATCGATGCGACAGAGGTGACCCAAGACGTTCCAGGGCAGGATATGTTAGCACAGTCTCAAACTTATAGCTCATATAAAAACAGGCACACCGTAAAATCTGTTACAGGCGTTGCCCCTAACGGAGCTGTGGTATATGTAAGCAAACTTTACCCAGGAAGTACATCTGATGTGGCCATTGTTGAACACAGTAAAATGCTCTGCCAGTTGAAACCAGGGGATATGATTCTGGCTGATAAAGGTTTTACTATTCACTCTCTCCTTCCAGCAGGTGTGCATCTCAACATCCCTCCTTTCTTGAAAGACAAAGGACAATACACTCCTGCCGAAGTGCAACTGTGCAGAAAAATTGCCAGATCTCGTATCCATGTAGAGCGGGTAAATGAAAGAATTAAGAACTTTGAGATATTATCTCACATTCCTCACAAGTTTAGACATTTAAGCACGAAAATTTTTCAAGTATGTTCTATACTAGTCAATTTTCAAGATCCAATGATTGCAGAGATTGCAGATAATTACATTCAGGCTCAAGATTTAGACACTCATTAATATATGATATAAGAATGTAGAGGTGGAGCAAATGTAATTTATTTCATGAGAGGTTCCAAGTATTTGTAATTGTGTTCAGCTTTAACATATATTTCTTTTATGATATTGATACCCTAAATTGATATTGTAAATGTAAGTGTAACAAAGTTTTGACAAACCCAACCTTGCTTCAAGTAGAGTGCTATGTATAAGTGCCAGGAAAATAAAGGTTGTATTATATGTATCATAAATCTTGTAAACAACTTTGAAAAGAGCATTTTAAGGTAAATAGTATGTTGTCATTGACCTTTACAAAGATTCTTTGAAAATACTCCATTTATCATTATTTTTTGCAAAAAAGCATGTATATTTTAAATTCTATAATATCATGAAAGCTAGCAAATTTTACATATGTTATAGTAAATTTCTATTCTTTATCCATTTTTTTTAATACATCGAGTCATTAGTCTCTTTGGATAATGGAACAGTACAATTGTTATGAAATAATTCTTTGACAAAATGATGTCCAATATTTACATGGAATATGTGAAATACCAAAAAATGTAGTTCCATATTGTACATAAAATTTACATGTATTTTTTCATCACTTCGTCTCTTGTTTACTTGCATATTAGGCAAAAAAAAAATTAATTTCTTGGTTCTCAGGCCCTCCCTCATCTCTTCCAAGGGTGCCTCATTGACCCTTTCTAATGCTAAATCAATGAAATATAAACACCAAATCACCTCCCTCATCATTTTTTGAGGTTTTGTACAATGCAAAAAGCTGCCTCGTCATGTTTTGGGGGCAATAAATAAGAAAAAAAAATGCCTCCCTCCCTCATCATATTTCTTGAAAAAAGGCCTGAGAACCAAGTAATTAACTTTGCATGGCCTAATACATGTATTCGACTAGATAAAAAAAAAAGCATATACAGTCAAAAATTTATTACACAGTTTGTGATATATATATATTTAAAAAGACATTTGAACAGAATACTTAACTTATTTCTTCTACAGTTCTGAAAGAAATCTTTCACTGTATTAAAAAATTATATTGTGTATTTTTAAGTGGTAAGAAATACTAAGAACAACCTGAAATACACTACAAGCAAAAATCAATCAATACAATATAAAACTCAAGAAATAATTATTCATGATTATGTGTAATGATGAGAAAACTTTCAGAAATAATTCAGAAAACAAAGTATAACTTCTGTTGTTGGTTTCCAGCTTTACCCCGAGTACATATGTATAACAATAAGATTCCTTATAAATAGTGCCTCATGATTACTGAAAACAAGCGGTTCAAGTCAAGTCCCAAAATATTCAATGTAGCAGGTATACAAGTCTGACATTGCCCTACAACTCACTGTATTATTACATAAACATATAACATATTTGTATGTGTATAAATTGGGATTACTGGTACGTAATCACTAATCAAAAACTTCAATTTAAGTCACTCATAAAAAACCTACCGTATATCAGTACAAATATACAAAATTGCCTATATGATGTCATACTAACCAAATGTCATTCCTGAACAATATTTGGGATTATTTTACAAAAGTAAAAATCGATGAGTTTTGACATATTTGGGGTCCAGGTGCTGTCCTGAAGAATTCTCACAATAGCTATGTCTTTCGTAGTCCACACTACAAAGTCACATGATGACCTGTTAAGTATGTGCAGCTGTCCTTGCACCTGATCGTAATATCTGTGGCCCTCCTTTAACTTGTAGAACTTCCTTCCTTCATATATTTGGTAATCTGAGACATGAAATAATAAACTTTGTATTAAATATGTACCATTCCTTAATCAAGATTTCAGATTTTGCGGAAATTGTACCTTAAAACTAAAACCTACCCAAGCAAAAGTCTTTGACAGATTCTATGGCCTCGGGAATTGACATATTCCTTGCACTAAATGGGCACTTCACCTCCAAAACTTCTGGTTTAACAGCCATGCACTCGAGTAGGTCTGTTAATTCTACATCCTGGTAGTTGTAATTGTGTGTCGCTGCACGTCGAATAATTCCATCAGGGCTGGCTCCCAATATGCCACTCTCATGCAGCCATACACCTGTAATAAATATGTTTGGTGTTTTTCACATTCAATTCCAATATTTAAAATTGTTTAAATTAATTCTTGTCCTTTAAGATGTTTGAAACCTGTGGGCTATTTTATAAATTACACATAAGCACATGCACTTACCAGTTTCTTCTACAATAGCATCTCCAAATGAACAGTATTTTGTCCTAGCAGTTGACTCATTACTGATCCCCCATAATATGGCATCCTTTGTCGAGAGATTGTATGAGGAAAAGATTTGCTTATATAATGATGGTGGGAATCTGAAAAATATATCAATAGTTCCTCAGTTGAAAGTAAATTATATACTTAACTTGAACAAGGTAATATACCTGTATAAGATATGTTAACTTTACTTTTGGATGAGAAAAAAAGTACTACCTCTGTCTTCTTATTGCCGATAGTACCACACCAAAATTTGATGCCGTTAATCGATTTTTTTTAACCAAAGCCCAAAGATAATTTGTTCGTTGACCACATGTCATTTGTGCCACCTGCAAAATAATATAGTTGGTACTACATGTATTAATATAGTTTAAAAAATATTTTGTGTAAAAATGATATATGGATGATATTCATAATTTTCAATTTAATATTTATTTTTAATGTCACATATATTTTTTTTTCTTTTTGAAGACATGTCAAGTACAATATTTACAAAATGTAATCCCCTCTCTTGAAAGTTAATCAGTTGAAATATGAGTGTTGTGCCATCATTATCAAAAAATTGATTTGTATACTCTGACCCACATTTTTCAAAATGGGTTTGTATTTACTGATGTGTGCATTATACACTTGACATCTAGACATATTCATTACTGTTTCAATCTTAAAATATCTTAAGGAAGTGATTTATTTTACATTTAAAATAATGACCAGGTGATCCGGCCAATCCGTATTTTCAACAGAGACTAAAAGAAAGGAATAAAATCAAAGTACACCCCCCCCCCCCAAAAAAAAATAATAAAGAATGGGTGGGGACTGATTCAAAGTATTTATAATTCATAATAATTCTAGAGTATACTTATATAAATGTCCTACTTGTTCTGTCTGCTGCTTCGATACACGGAGGTTTGTTTTAAGCCACTGCACTTTATTGGTCGCACTTGTGTAACCTTCCGTTAACAGAAGATCCTCTACGCATGGAACATCCACTTTGGGAGCAGGGGGTTCTTCAGAAACTATCCATTGCATGGCCAACAATTTGAATAGAATTAATAAATTATAAATGTATGAATGATTGAAATGAGTATATTTTATTAATCTAAAATGATACAGTAGTTATGGTTTGATTTTAATAATAAAATGGGTTATACTTAATTAGTCTATCAAATAACAATACTTTAACATTTTCTCAATATACAGTGTATGCAAACACTTTCAATGGATATCTCGTACACTTTGCTTTCAATATGCAGGAAAGTCTGATAGTGCTCAACTTCATTTCAACAAAAACTGAATGAAAATATTTTGTTAGTCTGGTCACATAACAAAATAAGGAAACATGTATAAACATTTTCAATTAAACAAAGAACAAAACATGTTTCAACATTTTTTTTTTCAAATCAAGACCTGAAAATCGACCAAGGTCATTCAGCTTTTCCCGTAAGAAATTTATATCTCTCTCATCAACTGATCTTGATGTTGCCCTGTCAGTGTAACGTAATTTAATCTTATTTGAATAGAATGCAGAGAGATTTAAAAAAAAAATCTATATCACTTTTGTTTTTTTTTTTTCACATTCACATAATTTATGTATACCTATAATTTGCTAGTTTTGGTGTTGGAGGAAATAATTCATCCATGGTCATCGTTTTCTTTGGGGGTCCACTCTTTGGGTGTTTTATCCAAGATTCTCTTACATCCGTCTTACTAACATTCTTGTACCTAAATTAAGATAAATAACATTTATAAAATGCACAGGTACTTGGGTCGTGGTTTATAAATATTTATAATGTACCTTATTGATATGTAAAAAAAGTATTTTACATATCAATAAGGTACATTATAAATATTTATAAACCACGACCCAAGTACCTGTGATAAAATGAAGGTAAAAAATCATTTATATTTTTTATTGTATTAAAAAAATGCATACCCATATAACAGAAGAGAAGCTTTGTGGTGACACTTATCCTGGCCATTAACACAGTCACAGATACTGTCTTCCACAGTGTAATTATCCCCAAGTGTGATCTAAATGCAACACGAAATATTGAAAATAATGTCGTTTATGTACTTATATATTATTATTATCAAAAATCAAAACTATTTGATACATACGTTAATATGATAGCTTCTATCCCTCATGCTGGCTTGCACCCTTCCCTGGACGTGTCTCAGCTCAGGATCGTACAGGAATTTAAGAACGTGTTCAGATTTCACAGCCACTTCAGACTTCTGGTGTAGCTTTTTAGTCCCGGATACAAAATTCAACCAATACAGAATGGACAATGCCATTCTGTATCACTAAAAAGAAGAAATCTATAATGCCTATGTATATACGCGGATTTGTTTATCTCCAGAGGTTCAATTCACGCAAAATCTCGCGAACTCTCGCATTTCCGCTTTCTCACCCTATTATATATTCATTCCTGATAAAGATCATAAACGAAAGATGACAAAACAATAAACAAATTTACTTGAAATCTACTTGATAATGAATTTCATTGCCAAAGAAAGAAAAATTAATATATATATATATATATATATATATATATATATATATATATATATATATATATATATATATATATATATATATATATATATATATATATATATATATATAATTAGAAAAAGAAAATGAAGTTTCCAAATTTCATTTAACACAAGCGCTTTCTGGATCTCATAATCCGTCTTCAGGTGTACATAAATTGAACTGATTGTTTTGATTATATATATATATATATCTCCAAAGTGTGTATATAATAAATTATATAATAGTCACAGTGTCCGGCAATAAATATTTAAAAAAAGAAAAAAACGACAACACAAGTTGTAAAACGTTAGCGCTTTCATTCAAATTCTTCAGACGTTTTACTTTAAATATTTGACGTTACATTGTTGAAATGCATTTTTCAAGTTCAGATCTAGTGTTGTGCACGTCACGAACTGAATAATGCTGATAAATTCATGAAATTAAGGATGCAATATTAATGTCATTTGAAATCGTGAAATCGAAAATCAAAAAATTTGAATAGCATTTAAATGCTATCATTTTTCCCTCTACCAACGTAAAAAAATGAGTTGCATGTATCTGGTCTGACAAATAAATGTCTGACAGTGATTTTTTTCCGTAGTATTTTTTTTAATACGAAACGTTGTATTGTCTCTTTAATACTGAAACAAATGGAAAGAAGTTGGGTAAAACCTTTCTTCTGACGTTACATGTATTTCACAGCTTCTAATTCTGACAGCAGACAAAAGCGCTATTTTAAATAATTAATTCCAACCCCTTCCAAAGATTTTCCTAAATCTTCGCATTCCTTTAAATGACTATGGCCATCGAACCACTTGGGATATAAAGGAGAGTATGAACTAAACTTACATATCAAAAAGTGTACTACAGTGAACCTTCAGATATCCGGACGCCAGATATCCGGATGCTTCAGTATTCGGACAACTTTTCATCAGAACGGAATTTGTAAACGCTATTTTGTCTTGTTTTACTGGTAATTCAGATATCCAGACGCTTCACATATCCGGACAAATTGATATGGAACCAAAGCGTCCGGATAAATGAGGCTCCACTGTATAATAGTATTCAGAATCAATTTTTAACAGCATTGGCGAATTTAAATGGAGCATACGTTCCCCCTTCTTGTGTCCAAAATATACGTAAGATTTAATAATCTATTTTTTGTATAAAAAAGAGTCCTAATTTGCCAACAATGAACTTACGGCTTTTTGAGGAATCAGAGTATCCGATTGTGCCATTAGTGATCGTCAAAATTCATGTGCAATGCGTATATTTTTGGTGTTTTAGTAAACTTGATCTGAACAACAATTATTCCGTATAATAAATTTCGCTTCATTTCAATAATATTAGTGCAGTGATTTGATGACTTTTTTGCCATTAATGCAATTTTATACTGCATAAAGAAAAGAAAATGATTGCAAGCTCATGATAAATCCTTAAAAAGAATAGATTAGTTATGCAAAGAAATACTCATAATGATTCTTTGTGATCTTTCTTCCAATGTCTGTAGTTTCTTTTAGGCATTTATGTATCCGTTTAAAACTTGTGCTTAAATTTCTTTAAAAAAATTAAATATAATACATTTGCTGAATCAGACTTGTATTATTTTTATTCAAAAATGGCAGCAAGTTATCGAATGACAAATGTACAAATGTACCAAAAAAAACTTTTCACCTTCAATTCATATTGGTCAACGCGATGTAGGAAACAAAAAATATCACTGATCCAAATTAATCAATAGTACTGTAAAATCACATTTTTTCGTGGGGTCAAATTTTCGTTGTTTGAGGAAAATCTCTTGGTTCATTGGGATTTGATTTCGTGGATCAAGAATTAATGAGTACTTATGTATGTAACATTTTACATTTCGTTCTGGACATAAATTCGTGGGTCTCTTCATACCACGAAAACAACGAAAATTACCCCCCCCCCCCACGAAAATTTGTGATTTCACAGTTTGATAATAAATAGATTAAAAGTATGCAGACACAGATTTGAAGTTAATATGTTCTCAAACTTTCTGTGTAATGTCACGACTTACATGTATATACATGTATTGCAATAGCATTTCACATGAAAATATATTAAAAGTCTTATTGGAAAATGGATCGTCCTGGAATTGTACCCGGGACCTCTCACATGTGAAGCGGGAGTCATACCACTACACCACGGAACTGCTGTACTTAAACGAAAATTATATGCAAAGATGAAGACACATATTCACGTTCGATATTGTCAAAATTCTACACAATGCATGGTGTCTAATTTAACCTTCATTAAACAGTTCTAATAGATGTAATAAGAATATAAAGTTCGTCGAGAATCTGTTTAATACGTAATAACTTTCCTTCATGCCCCTATGCTTAAAATAGCGACATGTTATAAAATAAATACTAGTAAAACAAACGGGGCGGGACACATTGAGAGGGGTGAGGGAGGTCCTAGGGACTTTTGGTATAAAATTACATTGCAAAAGCTCAAAATCCTCTTGAAATATCGCCCGAAAACGATAGTGTTACACACAAACAGAATGTATTTATTTATGACCTTGAACTTTGACCTTTTGACGAAAATCAATAGTGGTCTTCCTTAAGCCACAGGGAGTTGTTCTGCAAAATTTCATTGCAAAAGTTTAAAGGGTTCTCGAGATATCGCACGGAAACGAAAGTGTTATAACAGACATAATTATCGAAATTATGACCTTGACCTTTGACCTTTTGACCTCAAAATCAATAGGGTTCTTCTGTCTTCCATAGGGAGTTGCTATGCAAAATTTCATTGCAAAAGCTCAAAGGGTTCTCAAGATATCGTGTGGAAACGAAAGCATTACAGACAGACAGAATGACGGACGAACAGCTAGACAGACGGTCGGACAGACACAAAGTAATATCCCCCACTTTTCAAGCGGGGGACAAAAAGTTGCCAACCCTACTTTTTACTCTTTGATACACGATGTTCAAAATTTTATAATTCACGTTAAAGGAGAGTGTGGGCTTTTTAAAAAAAAAAATCACGTACAGAGACTTTATAATAGATAATGTTCACCGTTTTAGTATAATTGAGTATGTATTGAATTGTAAATATTGAATTATTTTTTTTTTATTACAGATGCATGAAATCCATATCTTCATAAATGACATTTTTTCTCTCTGTTAAACGAATCTAGCAAACCGGTTGTCGGAGCACCTGACGATGTCAAAACGAAGCTCGTAGTTTTTGTGTATCTGTTCCCTTTTATAGTAAAACTTCCCGAAAAAAACTGTGCTTAACCTATTAAAGGATAGATTAGGCACCGTATTTGATTTTTTTAGTTAACTGGTTATTCATCTCAAATACGATTGTTACCAAAAATTGCAGAGTAAATTCTTTTGATACACAATTTCAAAATCCCGTTCATAACTGATAAAGATGGAATTGTTTAACAGTGGTCTTCACGTACAGTGTAGGTCTATGACGTCCTGCTCTTGCTTTTTTGTTCTTTTTTATTTTTCTC